CAAGTAGCTGGAACAACAGGTTTGCGCTACCACACCCGGCTAATATTTTTGATTTATTGTAGAGATGAGGTCTCGCCCGCCCAGCCGGGTCACGAACCCGCAGGCTCAGGCAATCCACTCACCTCAGCCTCCCAAAGGCGCGGGATGACAGGCTGAGCCACCGAGCCTGGCTCGTAATTTTTTTTTTAAGTCAGAGTATCACTCTGTCGCCCAGGCTGGAGTGCAGTGGCATGCTCACAGCCACAGCAGCCTCTACCTGTTGGGCTCAGACAATCCTTCTGTCTCAGCCGTCCAAGTAGCTGGAACTACAGGCATACACCACCTCACCCGGTTAGTTTTCGATTTATTGTAGAGATGAGGTCTTGCCAAGTTGCCCAGGCAGTCCTCTCACCTCAACCTCCCAAAGTACTGAGATGACAGGCGTGAGCCACCGTACCCAACTGGTTCTGCTGTTTTAAGGAGAAGAAAGTGAAGCTCTCCTGAGACTTCTCTACAAGCAACAGTGCAACAACAGCTTCTGCAACCTGCTGGAAGAAAGCTGTGACCCGAGAGCCCCCCTCCCAGCTCGATGGTGGCATCAGAGGCTGCTCTTGACGACGTCTCTGGACACAGGCTCCCGCCCACTAAGAGATGGTTGGAGAAGTCGCAGAAGGCGGTGGCTGGGAAAAACACGGACCCTGCATGGCTGAAGAACAGCCTCCAGGAAGCGTGGAGAGGAGGCAATGATGGAACGGAAACTCGACGGTCAGGATGGCAGAGAGGCGGAGCCCGAGGGAGCCAGTGAACGAGCTGGAGCTGGAGGTGTCCGAGGGGATTCCCGGAAAGCCTAAAAGCAGGAACAAGTGGGGGCTCCAGGCCTGGCAGCGCCTGGTGTGTTTCAGGAACCATGGGGGACAGTGTGGCTGCAATGGGGGCTGCATGAGAACGTGTCCCCCAGCACACAGGAACATCAAGCCGCCCAGATCCACCACCAGTTCCAGCGACTGGTTCCCAGCAAACCAGCCAGCAGGCCACTGGACCGGCTTTCAGGCATTCAGGCGGGGTCTGACCCTCCCTCCTGCGAGGAGTGCTTGAGAACTGTTCTAGTATAATCGGTGGCAGGGCCGGGCAGGGCGGGGTGGGATGGGCCCAGCTGTCTGCCCCACCTGGAGGCAGCCACGTGTGGCGAGAGTGCCCAGGCACCAGACCTCCCCCGGCCAAAGGCTCGGCCTCCGCCGCAGCTCCACGCTGAGCACCACCCCGGCCTCCTCCCACAGAGACCTGGGCACCTCGCTGGGCCGCCTGCAGGTGCTGTGGCTGGCTCGCTGTGGCCTGACGGACCTGGATGGCATCGGCTCCTTGCCGGCACTCAAGGTGGGTGTGGGCGCCTGGGGCGGGGCGGACAGGCCGGGCCTGGCTGAGCCTCCGCGCCACGCAGGAACTCTACGCCTCCTACAACGGCGTCACGGAGCTGAGCCCGCTGTGCCTGCTGGAGCGGCTAGAGGTGCTGGACCTGGAGGGCAACAGCGTGGAGGACCTGGGCCAGGTGCATTACCTGCGGCTGTGCCCGCGGCTGGCCACGCTCACGCTGGAGGGCAACCGGGTGTGCCTGCAGCCGGCCCCCGGCCCCTGCCACAAGGTGTGCTGGGAGGGAGGAGGGCGGGGCCCTGCGCGCGGACCCCGGGTGTGCCCCAGGCCGGGCCTGTGTGCCGCCTGGGCCCTGGGGCTCGCCCGTCACGAGGCTGCCCTTCTCTGTCACTGGAGGCCCGGCAGCTGCCCCATGTCCTCCCAGGCTGGCCCCGCAGACACGGGGCCACCGCACACTTGCCGCTTCTTCAGCCCATGTGTACGCCCCCTTGAGGTCCCTCCCACCACATGGAGCTTCACAGAATCCTGCGCAGCCCACAAGCCCACACACCCCCGTGCCCCGCGTCCCGAGCCCCCTCCAGCCCCGCAGGCCTCAGACTCCTCTGCAGCAGCAGGGGCCTGTGCAGGTCCAGCCCGGGGCCGGACCCCTGCACATGAGAGGCCCCTGCACGGCCCAGGGCCCCTAGGCCTGGCACAGGCCATGTGTGCTCCACGCTCGCCCTGCCCGCAGCTGCCGGGTGGAGCCATGTCCGCCCAGTGCCGGGGCCGCTGCTCGACTGGGTCCGAGCCCCAAGCTCAAGGCAGCGCCAAGGCCAGAGGACCCACTGCACCTGGCCGTGGGTCTGGAGAGGGAGGTCATGCGTCCCAAGGGGGCAAGACCCCCGTCGGCAGTCCTGGGGTCCGAGAGTGACCCAGGCGAGCCCCCGGGGGGGCAGCCTTGCCAACCCCTGCACAGGCCACGCTGCGCCCCTGCCCTGTCCCACAGGGGTCTGGAGAGGAAGCCCAGGGTAAGGCTGGCCTGAAGAGAGCGGGACCCAGACCTGCCATCCCTCCCCCACCTGCAGGTGCCCCAGGGCTACAACTACAGGGCCGAGGTGAGGAAGCTCCTCCCCCAGCTGCAGGTCCTGGACGAGGTGCCGGCGGCCGACACAGCCCTGCGGGCCCCCCAGCAGCTGGACCAGGACCGGCTCCTGGTGAAAGAGGCCATCAGGAAGGGCAGCATCCTCCCGGGGCTGGGTATGGAGCCCGCCCCGGAGGCCCTGCCGCTGAGCCCAGCTCCCCGGGGAACCCCTCCGCCCGCATCCAGGAAAGGTCTCCTCCCCGGCTCCTGCCAGAAGAGGCCTGCCCCTCAGCGCCCCCACCGGAGAGGCCCCCAGCACCAGGAGAGACCTCCACTCTAGCACCCCCGAGAGGCCTCCTCCCAGGTCCCCCTCCCTGTTCCCCCCAAGAGAAGTCTCCACCCAGCTCCCCCCCAGGGAGGTCTCTTCCCAAGCCACCCAGGAGCAGGGGTCTCCACCCCAGGCCTTTCGGAGGCGGACATCGTGCCACCTCTGCCTCTGCAGCCTTGGGCCTAGCCCCCAGAGCTGTGCACACCCAGCCCAGGCCAGGGAGCCATCCTTTGGGCAGCTCCCAGGGGAGAGGAGGACCTGGGGTTCAGGGCCTCTGAACGGGCAGGGGCCATCAGAGGCCAGCCTCAGGACTCAAAGCCTGGCTGTCAGGGTCTCTAGTCTGCGGACAGAGCCTAGGGTGGGCTTTGGGCCGACCTGGCCTCGGTGGCATCTGATTCTGACTCTTGGGCAGGTCGTCCCCATGGAGACCCTGTGCGGAGCCTGGACCCTGAGCTGTCCCTGCCTGAGAACCAACCCCAGGTCCCTGGGCCCCAGGCCTTCTCCCTCCGGGTCCTTGGGGAACCCCTGCCCGAAGGCCTGCTTCCTGAGGACACGGCCCCAGAAGACAACGCCAGCACCCTCACCCACGGTAACTGCCCCTTGGCCTGACGCTCACCCCGCAGCTCCTCGGCCCCAAGCCAGGCCCAGCCATGCCTCTTCCTTCAGGTGCTGGCCAAGTCCTCTGCGGGAACCCCACCAAAGGCCTGCGGGAGCGTAGGCACCAGTGCCAGGTACACCCCCACCCCTGGAGCGGGCCAGGATACCAACCCCCGGGGGACCGGAATCCAGGGCTCCGGCCCCACCCTACAGCCATCAGGTCAGGATTTCCAAACCAGCCCTCTTCCTCCCAGGCCTGGGCACCCCAGGAGCACCTGCCCACACCCAGTCAGAACCCAGAAGGCCTGGCCGCCAGCACCTCCGCCCCAGGGCCTGACCCTGCAGACAGCTGTGACCTCCTGGCCTTGGCCGGACTTCGGGCCCAGAGGGAGCTTGCCCTGTGGTGGGTACCCCAGCCCTACCAGCGCGTGTGTCCTGCCTGGTGAGGGGTCAGGGCTGGGGGCCAAAGGCTGCTGGACCATCCAGGGCCTCACGCGCACCTGGGGCCGGCTTGGAGCAGCCACAGGGCCACAGTTTCTCTCCTCCCCACCCTAGCCCCCTCCCCCGTGGGCACCCAGAGTCCCAGCAGGAAGAGGCTGCAGCCCCCCGGGGCCCACGGAGGACCCCTGGAGAGCAAGAGGACCAGGCAGAGCCCAAGATGTCCCCCAGGCCACTGAGCCTGGCCTCAGGTACTGATCCTCCACCTGCCTCCAGGCCTGAGTGACCCGGCACCCACCTCGGCACGGGGACTCCTCGCCACAGACCAGCATGTGTCAGATGGGCTGCGAGGGGGCCCACGACAGGAAAGTTCTCCCGGGTGGGGGGCTCACAGCCCAGGGAGGCCCAGCCGCCATGTCCAAGCCCTGGACCCTTGTGTTCCAGAGGAGGGCCATGGGAGCAGAGTCCAGAGGGGCCTAGATCAGAAGTGTGAGCACCGCAGGGCAGGAGCAAGCAGGGGCCAGGGGCGGGAGGCCGAGGCAGGGAGGTGCCACTGCTTTGCCCCAGGCAGGACCCGTGCTGGGCTCGGGGACACAGAATGAAGCCGGGAGGGCCCCTCCGAAGGACACCGGCTTCAGAGAGACCGAAGCTGCAGGGTGGGTGAGCCCAGGAGGGGCAATGGCTGGAAGGGTGGCAGAAGGACCCTTCTCCGGGGGTCGTCAAGGGGGCCCGGGCGGGCAGGGAAGAGGCAGGCCACGCCTCTGCCCTTCCACGCGCTGGCTGGTGGCTGGGAGGGGGTAGAGAGAGGCACGGGCCCTGGGGCAGCAGGGGAGAGCAGGCAGGGGTAGCAGAAGGCAGGATCAGGGCAAGGGGGTGCCCGGGCACCTGCTCCAGATGCCAATCCAGGCAGGCTCTGGGCGATCATGGCCACCCCCTGCGGCCGTGGGTCCTGGCTCCAGAGCACGTGGGCCTGTGAGCCGGCCCTCAGAACAAGGACCCAAAGCCAGAGTCCAGGCCTCCTGTGTGAGCAGGCCCAAGCAAGCCAGCGCACATGGGGCTGGGGCCACAGCTTTCCCGGGGAGCACCAAAGGGAGGGGCGGTATGCCACCGGGGGCACGCAGCCCCCTGTGGTGCCCCAGCTGGGTCCACTGCCTCGGGCTGCAGGGCTGTGGTGGGCCATGGTCTTCCCAGCCAGGTTAATTCTCTTGCCGGACGTGCTGTCTCTCTCTGCCTCTCTCTCTCTCTCTCTCTGTAGAGCCTCCCAGGAACTTCGGCTACCACCTGGTCCCTTCCCCACCAAAGCACCCAAGGCCACCTGATTCAGGCAGCAGCTCTTTGCGGGGGTCTGCAAACCTCCGATCCAGGGGGCGCTGGCTCAGAGCCCTGGGCAGCCTGGGGGACAGGGTGGCCGCAGTGGCTGCCCTGAGAGCCCTGGAGGTGGCCTCCGGCCTGCCAGCACCCCCTCCAACAGCCACACCCCGGGGCCTCCGTTGCCTGCCTCTCCTGAAGCCCGTCACCCCAGCCCAGGCCCACCCTTAGCGCAAGCCCCGCCCACTCGAGTCGGCCTGCGAGACCACAGAGCATCTGGGCGGGTGTGGGGCGGAGGCGTGGGCCCGGCCCTAGAGGGCAGCAGCCAGAGCCAGAGCCCAGGTGAGGGCCCAGGGCTGGGTTTAGCGGGAGTGGGGAGGGTCAACGCCTCCCCCCCCACGGAGCCAGGTGTCCTCCGAGGTCTGGTCACAGGGCTGGGGGCCTGCCACAGGGAGACCTCCCTGCTGGGTGGGGCCGGGCGCCTGCCCCCACCCCACTCCGGCTGCCCCAGGGCTCTGACGGCCTCCCGGGCTGCGGTGGCCCAGGGTCCTGGGTGCTCACCCGGAGGCCCCAGGGCGCGGCCGGGGCTCCCGTCACGGGGATCCGCGCGGTCCCCGCGCGCAACGGGCGGCGGTGGCCGCCTCCTGGGCAGGACGCTCCGGACCCCGAGTACGGCCCCACGCCCAGGCGTGCCGAGATGCGGTTTATTGGCGGGCGACGCGGGTTCAATAAACGACGCAGCAGGCCGCGCCGCCCCGCCGCCCCTTCC